ATTATTCTCTATCTCTATTGGCTGGACTGCAAAGCAAGGCCCGCCCCTTTGGCTTCGGGGTTGGCTGAGGGAAGGTTTTCCGGTGACCTACTTCCGTTACTTGCTGTGGACGGTTCGCAGCTGCGGTCGGTGAAGGTGAGTCGAGGTTCGGGTCGTGGGACCGAATTCCCGGCGGGGTCCTTGTTTTGGCACTCCCAAATCTCGCGTCGACGCTTGTCCCATCCGGCCGAGGACGCCGGGCCCTCGAGGTGCCCGGCCGGCAGAGTGCCGCGGGGGCCGGGCGGTGACCCGACCCCGCTGACTTACGCGCGGCCGCAAACCGAGCCTCGTTCAGTCCCAGTGCGGCGAACTTGGCGTAGTCCGTGTAGGGCCTTCGGAACGGTTACGCGGACGTACCTGCCGAGGGGCCTCAGCTGGCTGCGAGGCTTGCCCTGCCCTTCCTTTCAGGGTTCAGGATTCGAACGTGCGGAGCATTCAGAGCTGTTCAAGTGCGGGGTTCGTTTCCCTAGTAAACCCACATTAATTGAGCACCTCCAGTGCGCATGACCTGTCCTAGGAGCTGGGCTAAAGCAGTAAATAAAGGAGGGAATGTATTTTTGACCTCTGTCTTCTCCTGGGGCTTGGGAAAGCCTCTGTAAAGGTACTTGGTTCTCTGGCACATCTTTAAAAGTCACCTGCCAACTGCCTGAACGCCTCCCCTGCACTCCAGGAGAGGGAAGCGAACCTGAGAAGGCAGGAAAGTCAGGCGCAGGTGTTTGACAGCTTTAGGTTCCTGAGGGCGCTCTCTCCCACCTCCCCGGTAATTCACTCTATCTTTTGTAAAGACTTTGACTTTGTAGCCTTCTTGTAAGAAGTATTTCACTCCTATTTAAATTATTTCCCAGTATTCTGTCTTGGCTAAAATAAATAAGAGGCTGTAATCACCTCTTTGTTCTACGTCCACGTGGGTCTTGAATCCTGATTAAGACGCAGGGCGCCAGGGTGCAGGTGTATGATCTGGTGTCTAAGAATCACAGAGCCCCGTGGGTTTGGGTAAGACTGTAGAACAAGTCGGTGCCCAGTTCTTTTGACACTGTAAACAGCCTTCTGAGGTAAGCGGAGCCAATATCCCCATATTCCATATCCCTACATTTACAGATAAGGAAATTCTAGCCCAGAGCCTGGTCTCTTTAAGCCTTGTTGAAAATTAGGTTTGCGGCAAGTTCTCAATATTGGAAAAATTAGTGTGTAAAACACAGTATCAGTGATGGGGCTGGCAGGTGGTGTGGTGGTTAAGGGTGCTGGACTCCCACATGGCTGACCACGGTTCAAGTCCCAGACTCTTTTAAAAATATATATATATCAGTGAAAAGTGTATTTAAAGTATTAGGTTTTATTTTTTTAATAATTATTTAATTTATTATTATCGTTATTCTGTTTGGCCAAGCCACCAGGGGCTCAAACCAGGTATTGGCCATATGGGAGTCCAGTGCTTTAACCACCACGTTACTTGCTTGCCCCAAAGTTTTACCTTTAATGCAATGTCGAGTGTTATTTTAGTCATATTTCCGAAGGCATGTAGTGAGAAAGAGCGAAAAGCTGGGCTTTTCAGGAAATGGACAAGGAAGGACAGTCTAGTGGGTGGAATACTGTACATGCAACAGCCTTTGACCAGAGAGGGACAGAGTGAGAGAGAGAGAGAAAGTGAGAAAGCAAGCTGCCAGGTCCAGTACTTGAACTGTGCTCTGCCATGTGGGAGTCCAGCATCCTTAACCACCATGTCATTGCCAGACCCCAGCCCTATTTTTTTTTTTTTTTAAGAAAAATTTATTTAATTTTATTTACTCATTTAATTTGACCAGAGACGGACAGACAGAGAAAGGGAAAGTGAGAAAGCAAGTCACCAGGTTTGGGACTCAAACTGTGGTCGGCCATGTGGGAATGTCCATTGCCTTCACCACCACGCCACCTACTGGCCCCCAACAGCCCTATTTTGATTTAACACATTTTATTTTCCAGGATTGCAAGATGGCTGGGCGAAAACTTGCCCTAAAAACTATTGACTGGGTAGCTTTTGGGGAAATAATACCCCGAAACCAAAAGGCTATTGCTAACTCCCTGAAAACGTGGAACGAGACCCTCACCTCCAGGTCAGTACGTTTCTGAAAAGGGGTCTCTTCCTTGCTACCGAATGTAGAAACAAAACAGTTAAGGAATTAAGTATTACTTTGTTTTATTTGTTTGTAATTTTGCTATATGGAATGAACCCCGACGGGAGAGGGAGAGAGAAAGCATTCCTGGGCGAAATGGCCATGCCACAGTCCTGTCTCCCTTCTGTTGGGACCTTGGGCACTCCTGCACGTGCACCTGGTGTGTTTTGGTCCCAGTCTGAGTTCGCAGTCACCATGTGGGATCCAGCCACCTTAACCTGTATGCCACTGGCTGGCCCTGCCTATGAATTTCTGATGTTCTTCTGACAAAAAATAAACCCATGCATTTTCCAAATAAAACTGGTATTTCTTTTTGTTTCTTTCACTTTTTTAAAAAAAGAATTACTTCATTTTATTTATTCATTTTTTACATTTTAATTTGACCAGAGACACACAGAGAGAGAGAGAAAGAGAGAGAGGGAAAGTGAGAAAGCAAGCCACCAATTCTGGGACGACTTGAACTGTGGTCAGCCATATGGGAGTGTCCAGCACCTTACCCACTACGCCACCTGCTGGTCCTCTTTCATTTTATTTTCCATTTTTATCCTGACCTTACAAAAGTGTGACATTCCAGGTCGAAAGACCAAGGAATCACTGCAGGTTCTCCGCTGCTTGTGGAGCAGTCCCAACATTTGCTTTCCACGGGAACAGGTTGGCTGCACTACCTGAGACGCCGCCGGCTATCGACTGGGCGTACTACAAGGCCAATGTGGCCAAGGCGGGCTTGGTGGACGACTTCGAGAAGAAGGTGAGACTTCAGACAACCAAAGCACTAATACCTTCGTGGAGCTTGTGCCTGTGGGGAGGAACATATGCAGATGACAGCCAGGGGAGTGGGGTGGTGCTAGCACCGGATCCCAAAGGAAACTTAGGAGACATGAATGTGGCCAGAAGTTGAGCCATGTGGAATTAAATGGTAAATACAGAGAGTTCAGGGTGTGTTCATTCCACAGTACAGTGTAGTCTCAGTCCTGGAGCCAGAGGGCTATCAAGTTAAACCTTTTATTTTTATTTATTTATTTTTTTTTTTTTTGAGAGGTTTTTGCTACAGAGTGCGTGCACTCGCTAGAGAGACAGACAGAGAGACAGAAAGCAAGAAATCACCCTAGGGGGGGATGGCCACGCCGCAATCCCTTCTCCTCCATTCTCCTCTCGGGATCTTGGACACGCACGCACACATGCCTGGCATGAGTTTAAGCCGCGGGGTCCAGGACTTGAACTGTGGTTGACTACATGGGAATTCAGTGACATAGCCATTACGCTAACTGCTGGTTCCAAACCTTTTTATTTTTTAAATTTTTTTTAATTATTTAATTTTTTTACTTATCATTTTTAGAATTATTTTTTATAATTTAAATTTATTTATTCATTCATTTTAATTTGACCAGAGAAGGACAGAATGAGAGAGGGAGGAAAAGTGAGGGAGCAAGCTGTCAAGTCTAGGACTCGAACTGTAGTCAGCCATCTGGGAGTCCAGTGCCTTAACCACCACTCTACCTGCTAGCTCCTTTTATTATTATTAAAGATTTTTGCCAGAGGACGTGTGTGCTTGCTGGAGACAAAAGACAGATGGAAAGTGAGAAATCACCCTGCAAGGGGGTGGTGACCATGCAGCAATCCCTTTTCTTCTTGGGGTTTTGGGCACACGTATACACATACCCAGTGTGTTTCTCAAGCTTCTGGGTCTGGGACTTGAACCATGGAGTCAGCCATATGGGACTCAGCACCTTAACCACTATGCCACCCGCTGGCCCCAAGTTAAACATTTTTGCCCAACTCCTTGTGTTGCATTTAAAAAATAATAATAGCTTCCCACCTATTTTCCTTTGGAACAAACTCTTAACATCTTTTTAATTAATTTTTCATCTTTTTTTACTGTCCTTTACCGCTGTTCATTTCTCACATACATAGAGTCCTCTGATACTGACAGGTGAAGCCTCAGTATCCACACTCCGTTCGTTCACTCATTTGCAGGGGCTCGTGAGGGGCCTGCTCTGCCAGGCACAGTGCTGAGTGCTGGAGCCGCACCACTGTGTGGTGTCCTCCGGCCTTCTCTGTCTCCATCATGCAGCCTTGGTTCTGCCACTCAGCCCTCTAGGGTGTCATCCAAAAGAAACCAGAATTCCTTTAGAATATGAGGTGCCAAGAGACCATTTTCCTGGTTGTCAATTCTTTTGTCCCTTTCAGATGAAGGAGCTGAAGCTCGGAGTATAGAATTGTCCGAGGTCTCTAGTGTCAGGGCTAACAGACCCGTGCGCTCCTGTCCCCAGTGTAATAATTGGTGACAGCAGTGGAGACGCACACCAATTTCCTCTTGGGTCAGAGATTATGTTTTCATTTCATATGTACGACTTATGCTATGAGCCCATTCTCTGAGCTTCTGGGCATATTGGTGACAACTCACTGTCCCTGTGTGTGTAGTTTAATGCCCTGAAGGTTCCTGTGCCGGAGGATAAATACACTGTCCAGGTGGACGCTGAAGAAAAGGAAGACGTAAGTAGCTGTGCTCTTACTTATCTAAACCTTTAATACTGACCGCCCTGTATTTCTTAGCAAATACAGTGAGGTAAAGTGAAGCCAATTGAAAATGATAGATGAGTGAGATAATCATGATGAGTGAAAGAGGCCAGCAAGGACAAAAAGTTGATACGTTACTCCTTTTACAAAGTGGGAGAGACCTAACTGATCTACGGCGACAGAAGACACGCCAGTGATTGCCTGTGATGGGGCGGGAGATGAGCGTGTACACTCTTTTCTCTTTCGAGTGCTATGGTTAGGTCATACTTACGTCAAAGCTTAATAGATGGTGTTGTTGACTCATTGTCAGTTATAACTGAACAAAGCTGTTAAAAGCAATTAAGGAGTTGGAGTTACCTAGAAGAATTATCCAGGCAGTAGTCAAGTACCTATTTGCTTGAGTGGACTGAAGGCCATTCAGCCCGGTGACTTCTTCACAGACACGGGGTGGTCAGGTGGCTTGTCCTGCCTGTCCATTACTGGGCCCTAGGAAACGCATTTTGTAGGTTGTCCAGATGAGAAACTTGCTGGAGTTTCCTAAGCTGGTTTTCCTCCAGGGGCCTCTTTGTGGGTGTTAGGAAAGGCTGTGTTGGCCTCCCACAGGGAGTGCTCCCAGCAGTCAGGGCAGCGGGAGGCCAGAGCAGGCTGAGGACGCCTCCGCCTTGGGAGCCCAAAGGCAGATGGCAGCATGGTTTCAGAGCAGTCTCTTCCTTCTCTTAAAAGGTGAAAAGCTGTGCTGAGTTTGTGTCCCTCTCAAAGGCCAGGATTGAAGAATATCAGAAGCAGGTAAGGAGGAGCCATGGCCCTGCCAGTAATGCGTTTTCTCTCTTCTGTGACCTCACGGTCACTTGTGGCAGTAACCTGCCATAGGTTCCTGTTTCCCCTCCCTGTGGCTGTTTTCCTTAACATGTTTCCTGTATTTCCAGCTGGAGAAGATGAAGAGCATAATTCCATTTGATCAGATGACCATCGAGGACTTGAATGAAGTCTTCCCAGAAACCGCATTAGACAAGAAGAAGTACCCCTATTGGCCTCACCAGCCAATTGAGAATTTATAAAATTTTTGTGTCTGGAAGGAAGCTCTGGTCCTTGCCTTACAAGTTCTGGACATTAAAAATAAAAGTAATGACATAGATGTGAGTGTGTCACCTTCTCTGTGGTTGAGATAGTTACACCTTTCTCTGAAGCGACCTAAGTGGAAGTGGGCTTTTGTTAAAATGAGAAAGTGAGCCTTAAGGCATGAACTGGTCCAGTATCTCACTGGGAGCTGGTGAAGAGGAATTTTCATTTGAATCTCCTGAATTTCCTCCTCGTTCTGAAATGACTAGTACCAAGGGAGTGCTCCCTTCCACGTGTGGGCTAGTAAGTCTCAGAACAGCTGTCAAGATTATAGGTGTCGGGGGGACCAACAGTTGGCGTAATGGCTATGTCGCTGGACTCCTACATGGTCGACCGCGGTCCCAGGCCCGGTGGCTTAAACTCACACTGGGCGCGGGTACGTGTGTGCCCAAGATCCCGAGAGGAGAATGGTGGAGAAGGAATTGCGGCATGGCCATTCCCCCTGGGGGGTGATTTCTCACTTTCTGCCTCTGTCTGTCTGGTGAGCATGTGTGCCCTATAGCAAAAACCTCCCCCAAAAAAGATGGCAGGTGTCACAGCAAAGTAAGTAGCAGGTGAGTCCCAGCAGGAATCTATGGGCTTCCACAAAGCTGACTGCAGATCAGTCCTGGACCCTGGTGACTTGAAAATCGCACTGGGCACACGTGCGTGTGTGACCAAGATCCCAGGAGAAGGGATTGCGGAGCAGCCATCCCCCCAAGAGGGTGATCTTTCCTCTGTCTCAAGCGTGTGTGCCCTCTGTCCAAAACTAACAAAAAAAGGTACAGAAGGAAGCTCATGGGGCCCGCCTGGGAAACTCCACACTCTGCGGCGGAGCCTCCCTCTACATGCCAGGCTACACGTGTACAAACCCACGGTCGTCTGGCTAAGGGTGAGGATCCTGTATGGGGTGCCTGTGCCTGTCAAAAGAAGTAAGCCAAAAAGAAAAGGGAGGCTGGTGACTACAACTTTTCATCTTTTAACACACAAAATTACTATTACAAGATTTATTTATTGTTTCATTTATTTTAAATTTTCTGTAGGCACGTGCTCACCAGAGAGAAAAAACAAGTCACCTGGTCCAGGTCTGAACGGCAGCCAACCTTGTGGGAGTCCAGTGCCTCAACCACCATGCCCCCTGCTGGACCCCCAGAAAATTATTTTTAACGCTACTAGTTAATTTTCTTTTTTAAAGTTTTTTCCAAAAGCATCCCTCATGGGGTATCATTCCATGCTCCCCCCAGCCTCCCCAGCCAGGCAGGATCTTGGTTGTGTGTGCCCAGCGTGTACAAGCCGACTGGGGAATGGAATCTTCCAGACCCAGCACTGCTGGGGCAGTGGTTCACCACCACGGTACCACCGCGCCGGCCTGCCATTGTTACTGCCCAGCACGTTCACTGTGGTCAGCACTCCCAAGCACTGTCTGGACATCCAGGAGTTTAAAGTCAGGCGAGGACCGCTGTGCCACTCAGTGGCTGACTGGAGACCAGTAGTTTACTGTCTTAGGTCTTAGTTTTCTCATTTACAAACATCAGTATTGGAATGAGAGTTGGATAAGTTGGAAAGTCTAGATAAGGAAGTACTGGGTTGAGGGCCAGTTGGTGGCATGGTGGTTGAGGCACTGGACTCCCATATGGTCGAGCGGTCGACTGTGGTTTGAGCCCCAGACCTGGAGGCTTGCTTTCCTTTTTTGGAGAGATTTTTTAATAAAGGGTGCATGCACTCGCCAGATTTTTTGGAGAGATTTTTTTAATAAAGGGTGCATGCACTCGCCAGAGAGACAGAAAGTGAGAAATCACCCCCCCGAGGGGGTAGACGGCCATGCTACAATACCTCCTCCATTCTCCTCTTGGGATCTTGGGCACACACACACCCACCCAGCGTGAGTTCAAGCTACCAGGGACGGGACTTGAACTGCGGTCGACTACATGGGAGTCCAGTGATACAGCCATTATGCCAACTGCTGGCCCATGGTGGCTTGCTTTCTTTCTCTTTGGTCAAATTTAAAAAATATAACAATGATAATAAATTAGATCTTTAAAAAAAAGGGCTGGGTTGTTGGGAAAGTTATGGTACCTTTTTGCTTAGAAAAACATTGAGGGGCCAGGAGGTGGCATGGTGGCTGGGGCACTGGATTCCCACATGGCCAACCATGGTTCAGGTACTAGACTTGGCTTCTTCACCCTTTCTTTCTGGTCAAATTTAAATAATAAATAGGGGGAACCAGTAGTTAGCATCTCACTTTCTGTCTCTCTTTCTGGTGAGCCCTATAGCAAAAACCTCTTAAAAAAAATTTTTTATAGAAATATTTTTCTTAATCTAGGGCCTAGCAGTTGGTGTAATGGCTGTCACCGGACTCCCATGTAGTCGACCGCGGTTTGAGTGCCGGACCTGGTGGCTTAAACTAACGATGGGCTTGTGTGCATACGTGCCCAAGAGGAGAATGGAGGAGAAGGGACTGCGGCATGGCCATCCGCGCAAGGGGTGGTTTCCCACTTTCTGTCTCTCTGTCTCTATCTTTCTGGTGAGTGCACACACCCTATGGCAAAAACCTCTCCAAAAATAAATAAGTATTTTTAAAAAGATATTGTGGGACCAGCAGTTAGCATAACGGCTATGTCGCTGGACTCCCATGTAGTTGACCGAGGTTCGCATCCCGGACCTGGTGGCTTAAAACTCACGCTGGGTGCGTGTGCGTGCGTGCGTGCCCAAGATCCCGAGAGGAGAATGGAGGAGAAGGGATTGCGGCGTGGCCATTCCCCCTGGGGGGTGATTTCTCGCTTTCTGTCTCTCTGTCTCTCTCTGGCGAGCATACGCGCCCTATAGCAAAAACCTCTCCTAAAAAATAAAAAATAAATAAAAATAAAAGGATATTGAAAAATACATCATGACATTCCCGATGACCTAATAATTAAGCAAAGACGTGTGATTTGCTATGGCTTAAGTCCTTCGGAAAGGGTAGCATTCTCAGACCCCAGACATTGGGGCAGCTCTGTCAAATAATGCAGAAAGCATGGCAGTGGCTGATAACCCACAAGAAAGCAGTGCGGTACTGAAGAACCTTCGCAAAGGACAGTCTGGTGCTATGATTCAATCTGAGGGGCAGGGACTAAAAACAGATGGTGGCAGGGCCAGGGCAGAGCCTGCCCAGAGACTTGCTGTTACTGTACCGATGGGAATGGAGGCAGATATGCCCAGGCAGCTGAGTCAGAAGGCCTTAAACAGAAAAGTGAGCGTCACACCCCCAACCCCCAACTGCTGAGTCACTGAGTTGGCACTCGGCCATCCCGCTGAACTAAGGATTCAGACCATGGCCACATAAAAACATGGGGAATTTGGGGAAAATGCATTTAGTTTGCTTGTGGGACGTGGTTAGAACATACCGTTCAAAGAAAGCAAAAATGTGAGTGTGAAAGTAAAACAAAGGCATTTGAGGGAGCCCTTGGGAAGATTTCTTGCAGTAAACAACAGTGAACAATGAAACTGGCGTTTGGATAGGATTGGAGGCACTTCGTCTCTCAGTTTCCTATGCCCTCCTGGATGCTTTGACTTTCTTGCATTTGCATGTGCATTGACTGGTAAAATAGGAGTCTGCCTTGCAAATCACTAGGAATGGGGAAAAATGTTCCGTATAGCAAAGTTATAGGACTAAGTGAAAATAAATAGCCTACGTACCAAACATAATAGATCTGAACGGCGAAGACTCCCTACTAGAAGGCAGTATTTAAGTTGGGTCAACCCAGAACCCAAGTAAAGCTGCCCAAGGCTGTAGCTGCCATCTTGGGGAGGACAGAGCTGGCATCCGACCGGAATGGCCCACTTTAAACTTTCCTTTCTGTCTGGGGTGATGCTCCGTCATCCCACCTGAACCCTGGGCACCATCTTGGGCTGCCTGTCTCCCTCCCGTGTTGGTCGAGTCCGTGACCCCCGGGGCATTTCCTGAACATCTGTTTTACTTTGCTCCTCTGGGTGCCCCTCCCTCCGTTTGTGTTCAGGCCTCGGTCATTTCTCTGCACACCCTGTGTCTCCCCTCCCCTTTCCTAAGTGCTGTCTTCTGCCTCTACTCACCCTCCTTTCATCCAGTCTTCTTCACCTTGCTGCCAAGGGGATTTTTTCAGAATGCAAGTACGGTGGATTTACTCCTGCTTAAGGTCCTCCCCTGGCTTCCCCTGCCTACGAAATCAATCTCTGCCCCAGCCTGGCCCTTGATTGGTCCAGTTTTCTTCCTCTGTATTATAATCACAGCAGCTTGCTAACGACACCTCCCACTCCACCCTTACCCGCTGGCATGAGCAATTCCTGCTCCTACTAGAAGATGAGAAAGATCCAGAGGCTTCTAGAACATTCTTTATCAAGTGCTGGCACTATACTTGAGGTTTCTATTCTCCAGGGCTAGCACTGTGCTTTGGCATTTAGAAGAGTCTTCATAGGAATTCACTATGAATAAAAAAGAAAGCCTTAAGGGATTCACATCTAGCTAAGTCAGGACATCTGAAACCTCGAATGGGGCAAAGTACAGCAACCTGGTGACATAGGTCGCATGTCAACCTCTGAAGTCTGATGGAGGAGACAGGGTTGTCAGGGATGCTTTTACTATCCTCTGTCCAGAAGCCGCCTCTTTTTTTGTTTAATTGCTGGAGAGTCTGTACAATTGCTAGAGAGAGGGAGCGAGAGAAAGTAGCTCTTTTTTTTTTTTTTTTTTGGGGGAGGGGGATATTCATGATATTTAAGACAGGACATTTTCAGGAATATAAATTTTACATATATGATTACAAATATTTTTGAGAAGTTTTTGCTATAGGGCGCGTGCGCTTGCCAGAAAGAGAGAGAGAAAGCGAGAAATCACCCCCTTGGGGGGATGGCCCTGCTGCAATCCCTTCTCCATTCTCCTCTCAGGATCTTACACGCACAAGTGCCCAGTGTGAGTTTAAGCTGCCCAGTCCGGGAATCGAACCGCGATTAAGTACATGGGAGTTCAGCAATGTAGCCATTACGCTAACTGCTGGTCCCTAAAGTAGCTCTTGATGGGATGTGGTC